GTTGGAGCTGGAGGTGCTGGAGCTGCTGGAGCTGCTTTGGTGCTGCGGGAGTTGTAGCTGGAGACCCTGGGGCTGAGGGTGCTGGTGCTGTCTTTGCTGGTTCAGGAGGTGCTGCGCGGCAGCGGCCGTACTACGTTCCGCTCCTTCAGCAGGTTCTTGGCCTCCCGCCCTCTACTGGTCCTACTCCTCCCCTACTGAGTCCACCGCCTGTCCAGTCACAGTCACAGTTACAGCCTGCCTCTCCGCTGCCTGGTCCTTCTCCTTACGCTGGGCCGACAAGAGGTCTAACGGAGCGTCGTGAGCCTGAGTCTCGTCCTGCGTCGCCTGAGTCTCGTCCAGGGTCGCCTGTCCGCGCTGTCCGCGCTGGTCGTCGTGTTCCGCGTGAGCGTCCTCCTCCTGTCCCTGGCACTCACTAGATGACTCTGCGTCCTTCCACTGCTCCACAGCGTGTCCCTCTGCCGTCTCCTCCTGCGTCCTCTCTTCCTGACGGTCCGGACCCGGAGTCTGACTCCCTTCGTGCTGCCAGTCCTACTGTCACGCGTTTTCTCGCCACTGTTGTCACTGACCCTACCTTTGAGTCCACTGCTGCGTCTGCTCTAGTCGCTGAGCTTGTTGACTTTGCTGCCGCATGTCGTTTAGACTACGCCGCTAGCCTTGTTGCTGAGTCTGAGTCTGTCTGTCCTCCGTTCGTCGGGGGTGAGTGTGCTCTTGGCACGGACGTCCTTGAGGACAGACAGGAGGAGTTTGAGTGCTTTGCCGCTGCTTTACCTCATCTCGTGTCCATGCTGATTGCCCCTGAGGGAGACCCGGATGCACCAGACATCCCGACCCCGCGCTCTTACGCAGAGGCGATAGAGGGTCCCTACTCCTCTCAGTGGCAGACAGCCATGGACGCAGAGATGGCTTCCTGGAAGTCCACAGGCACCTACGTCGACGAGGTTCCCCCGCCTGGGGCGAACATCGTCAGTGGCATGTGGATTTTCAGGGTGAAGCGGCCGCCGGGTTCTCCGCCTGTCTTCAAGGCGCGTTACGTTGCACGAGGCTTCAGTCAGCGAGAGGGAGTTGACTTCTTCCATACCTTCTCCCCTACCCCGAAGATGACCACTCTTCGGGTTCTGCTGCACGTCGCCGCTCAGCGTGACTACGAGCTCCACTCTCTTGACTTCAGCACTGCTTTCCTACAGGGCAGCCTGCACGAGGAGATCTGGCTGCGCCGCCCACCTGGCTTCACTGGGTTGTTTTCCTGCTGGTACCCAGTGGAGCCTCCGGCGGCCAGTCTACGGTCTCCGCCAGGCACCCCGTGAGTGGCACGACACACTGAGGACTACTCTTGCTGCTCTTGGGTTTGCTCCTTCTACTGCTGACACGTCGCTGTTTCTACGCACCGACACCACTCTGCCGCCGTTCTACGTTCTCGTGTACGTAGACGACTTGGTCTTTGCTACTGCTGACACTGAGGCACTCGCCCACGTGAAGTCGGAGCTGCAGAAGAGACACACGTGCACAGACCTGGGTGAGCTGACAAGCTATCTTGGCTTGCGGATCACCCGGGACAGAGCACAGCGCACCATTACCTTGACCCAGTCACACATGGTGCAGCAGGTCCTTCAGCGCTTCCGCTTCACGTACTCCTCGCCACAGTCCACTCCTCTGCCTACCGGTCACTCGCTCTCAGCTCCACCTTCGGACGAGTCCGTAGAGCCGAGTGGCCCGTATCCAGAGCTTGTGGGCCGCCTCATGTACCTGATGACCTGCACTCGACCTGACCTAGCCTACCCTCTTAGCATCCTAGCACGCTATGTCGCTCCTGGCCGACACAGGAAGGAGCACATGGATGCTACTAAGAGGGTGTTGCGCTACTTCTGCAGTACGTCGGGCATGGGGCTCGTGCTTGGAGGACGGGCTCGAGTTGTCCTCACTGGTCACGCAGACGCTTCTTGGGCTGACGACTTGGCTACGCAGCGGTCGTCACAGGGTTACACCTTCAGCCTTGGCTCCGGCTCTGTTTCTTGGCGGTCTACCCGCTCGTCTTCTGTTCTCAGCTCCAGTTGTGAGGCTGAGATCTACGCAGGGGCCATGGCTGCACAGGAGTTACGCTGGCTCACCTACCTGCTGACCGACCTTGGAGAGCCGCCTCGTTCTCCTCCAGTGCTGTACGTCGACAACAAGGCCATGATTGCCTTGTGTCAGGAGCACAGACTGGAGCACAGAACGAAGCACATCGCTCTGCGCTACTTCCTTGCTCGAGAGTTGCAGCAGCGTGGTCAGCTTCGTCTTGCTTACGTGGCCACTCGGGCCAACACTGCTGATGTGTTCACCAAGGCGCTTCAGCCTTGTGATCATCAGCGTTTCTGTACTGTTCTAGGCCTTGTGCCTACTGTGCCTCACTTGCTTACTTCCTGACTCTGCTTGTACTGTGATCCTTATATATGTCTACCTGCATGTTTACACTTGCTAGGTTGTGATCACTGTATTTCTTGTTGTATTATCAACCTGCATGTGAACTTGTCTTGTGACCGCTTGCTTGTGCTCGGAATTTGTGTGGTATCCTTGAGATCCACCCTGAGCTGTGCTTTGCTTTGCTTTGTTTTGACTGGTCTTGTGACCATCTGGTTGTCTCCCACTTAGCCTATGGGGGTGTGTCAAACATTATATATGTTTCTATTCTGTAGGCTATAGTGGGTTTAGACTTAGGGGGTACAACATTCTGGGTTTTCCTACTTGTACTCCCAATGCTGTTAGTTCATTCTTTCCTCTCTCATTCTGACATTAGCGACCGCGACACAAAGTTTACCAGCATTCTGGAAGAATCTTTGAGAGCAGTTCGGGACCACGCTACAGTTTAGCTCGTCGTACCACCCCGAGACCGACGGTCAAACGGAGCGGACGAACCAGACCATGGAGCAGCTAACTCGTGCCGCGTGCGACGACCCGACAACATGGGAGCAGCAGCTGCCGCTGATCGAGTTCGCATACAACAATGCCACGTCAGCAACGACGCAGCAGTCCCCGTTTTACCTGAACTACGGGCAAAATCCAAGATTGCCCATGACGCCGAGTCCGGACAATCCCACACCACGCGCTCAACAGTTGGCTGAGATACTGCGAGCTGCCCAAACGCGAGCAGCAGAAAAAAAAAAAAAAAAAAAAAAAAAAAAAAAACGAACATCATCGCTAAGAGAAACGCTGACCGCCACCGCCGCCCAGTCACGTACTAGTCAGGAGACTACGTATTGCTCGACACACAGAATTTAAGACTGCCTGTCATACCAAAACTTCGACCGCGTTACTGTGGACCTTTTCAAATCAGCCACATAATCACCCCGGTGACCGCCCATCTACTGTTGCCGACAGACTGGTACATCAGCCCATCGTTCCACGTCAGCCTACTTTGCCATACATCCCGACCACAAGCCAACTGCCACGCCATCGCCCGCCGTCCATGACTCGCCCTGCATCGGAGCCGATCGTCGAGCCCGAAAAGATTCTGAGCCATAGGATTCGTCACTACAGGCATCAAGAGGATCGAGTTCCTCGTTCGCTGGAAGGACCGCACGCCAACTGAAGATAGCTGGCTGCCCCTGGCCAACATCGAGAACCACGCTGCCCTGCAAGTGTACCTGAGGAGCCGGGGTTTCCGCGATATACACGCACTCGCGTAGCGGAGGGGGCTTTTTTATAGGGGGGGGGGGGGGGGGGGGGTAGTGTAAGGATTTTTTCAGCATTCCTTACTGCGTTCTTCAACATCGCGTACAGCAGCAGCCGTTGTTCGCTCGTTACTGCTAACGGGGCTTCGCCAACTTCGCGCGCACTGTTTTCCCAAACCATGCACCGCTGGCCTGGCCGAGTCGGCCTACGTTTCGGGAATAGCCGGAACCTCGATGCCAGCCTAGCACTAGCTAGCTCGCACGCACTGCGTAACCGTTGCATGTTTTCGCCCATAAGTATTTGCTCATGCCTTCGCTCATACTTTGTACTCGTTTGATACCTAGTGCAATCCTCGCTATCTAGTTCCATTGCACTCGTAACACCTTTTGACTTTCTCCCAATCCCTTATCGGATTTTAAACTACCCTGGGTCAGGCCTACTTCGTTTTCAGTTCAAGTATCATTGTTCAGATTGGTGAATAGCGGTTCAAAGTGGTGGAGCAAGCAAACCGCTCTAGAATGCACAAAATCGTTTTCCACCGCATTCTGTGAACCGAAATTGAACTAAGTCTGACCCGCCCTCATGACTAGGTCGTACGTTACCTTAGCCCGCGACTTGCTACGTCCTTCAAAACCGGATTGCCGGATGCACAAGTCATGCGCGCGAAATTGGCAGCAGCGTTCTAGTATGTGAGCATCGCGAGTGAAAACAAACGAGGTTAATTCCTGCTCGGAGTACGCACACGTACACGTAAAAGTACCAGTACTTTAGGATGTGACGACTCAGCTCGGTCACGTTGTGTGACGTGGCACGATCAGTGCGGCCCTTACTCCGACGTGGCTCGCAGTGAGCGGTGGCGTACTGACGTGGACGAAGATGCGGAAGATGCTTGGCAAGTCGGACAAGGCCAAGCAAGCGGACGCAGCGAGAGGCAAGCCCTTACCGACATATTTTGAGTCGACTCAATAGTTCGCAACTTTGCTCACCGCTAACAATAGCCACGTCGTCCTTCTTTCGCGACGCCTCGCGACTTCGCGAATGTCTCCGGCGACTCGCCCGCCTTCCACACGCCCTCGTCGCCCGCAGTCTGTCTGCTCGTTCCGCGATCTGTATGCGCGGCTTCTGTCTTTCCTCCTCTTTGTGTACCTTTCTCTCAAGCCTCTCTGCCTCCCACGCTGCTCCTCCCCCTTTTCCACCCAAAATCGCCTTGCACCCCCCTTAACACCCCCCCTCCCCCCTCCTCCCCCCCTCCCCTCAGCCGCCCCCATCCAGGGCGCGTGTGTGCGGTTTTCCCTGGCGGACATGCTAACCGCGACGAACCACTGGGCACCGCAGTTGCTGGTGGGCGAGGGCTACCGCGTGCTGTTCAAGGGCGTGGACCCGCGCGACGGCGCCACCCCGTGGCTCCTCAAGCGCTGCCGCGCGCGCGAATTCCAAGAGTTCCACGCGGAGGTGGGGGGGGGAAGCGCGGGGGAGGTGATGGGGGAGTGCGGGGGAGGTGAGGGGGGGAGTGTGGGGGAGGTGAGGGGGGGAGTGCCGGGGAGGTGAGGGGGTGAGTGCGGGGGAGGTGAGGGGGGAAGCGAGGGGGAGGTGAGGGGGGAAGCGCGGGGGAGGTGAGGGGGGAAGCGAGGGGGAGGTGAGGGGGGGAGTGCGGGGGAGGTGAGGGGGGGAGTGCGGGGGAGGTGAGGGGGGGAGTGCGGGGGAGGTGAGGGGGGGAGTGCCGGGGAGGTGAGGGGGGGAGTGCGGGGGAGGTGAGGGGGGAAGCGAGGGGGAGGTGAGGGGGGAAGCGCGGGGGAGGTGAGGGGGGAAGCGAGGGGGAGGTGAGGGGGGGAGTGCGGGGGAGGTGAGGGGGGGAGTGCGGGGGAGGTGAGGGGGGGAGTGCGGGGGAGGTGAGGGGGGGAGTGCCGGGGAGGTGAGGGGGTGAGTGCGGGGGAGGTGAGGGGGGAAGCGAGGGGGAGGTGAGGGGGGAAGCGCGGGGGAGGTGAGGGGGGAAGCGAGGGGGAGGTGAGGGGGGGAGTGCGGGGGAGGTGAGGGGGGGAGTGCGGGGGAGGTGAGGGGGGGAGTGCGGGGGAGGTGAGGGGGGGAGTGCCGGGGAGGTGAGGGGGTGAGTGCGGGGGAGGTGAGGGGGGAAGCGAGGGGGAGGTGAGGGGGGTAGTGCGGGGGAGGTGATGGGGGGAGTGCGGGGGAGGTGATGGGGGTAGTGCGGGGGAGGTGATGGGGGTAGTGCGGGGGAGGTGATGGGGGTAGTGCGGGGGAAGGGGACGGAAGAGTGTGGTGTTGGAGAGCAGAGAGAGGAGGGGTGATGGGGAGGAGAGGGGGGAGGTGCAAGTCTGCAAGAGGCAGAGGTGAACGGAGGAGAGGGAATGAAAGTGAGGCGGGGCTGCGATTTGGAGCCTCTTCAACTGGGCTGTTTAGAAGAATAACCATCGGATTTTGCTGCTTCAACCACAGACGGACCCCACACGCTTACACCTCTTGCATGGAGAACAGCTCTGCATTGTCGTCTCGTCCCCCAGTGGCAGTCCGTCCGTCTCATACGCCACACTGCCACAATACCAGCCCAGCCTGTGGACGGTTGCTGGTACACCTGCCGCGCCCTATCCCTCTCCTCATAGCAGCATACATGTAAGTTGCCGTGGAGCCAATGAGGGCGAAGGAGGAAAGAACGCGTGCCTCTTCCAGAGGAAAGAAGAGCACTGCTCGTCTTACCCTGTCCCTCCCCTCCCACCCGCTCCCCACCCCCTTCCTTGCCTCACCCGCTCCCCTCCCCCTGCCTTGCGTGCCCCCAGGTGGCGGAGATGGGCAACAAGAACCACCCCAACCTGGTGCGCCTGCTGGGGTACTGCGATGAGCGCGACAGGCAGGGGCGGTGGGAGCAGGTCGTGGTCTATGAGTTCATGACAGCTGGCAGACTTCTCGACAAGTTTGGACCACATGGTGCAGACTTGCACACCCTTTTTTCTCTCTCTCTCTCTTTACCGAGCCCATGTCGATTGCAAGTGTGGCGCCCATGTCAGTCAACTCCAAACATGTAGATGCGTGCCTCTTCTTCCTCGCTCTTGTCCACGTGACGACATGTACTTGGCATGGCATGGGTACTGCACCCATGTGTAGAGCCCGTTTCCTCGTGTACTCGGTGCCTTTGGCGCTGCTAGGCTAAGTTGGAATATACGTGTTCCACGTTTTATATGCAAGCTTATATTCGCTAGCGTATAAACGCCTTACGCTGCGTGGAAGGGTCCAGTACGCACAGAATACGCAGGCCCGGGCAGATAGACAATTTTCCCGGGAAGTTCGTTAGGTTTAGAAGCGGGAATGGGGCAGTTGGTTAGGTTAAGAAGCGGGAATGGGCAAGGTGCAAAGCACCAAGTTGGTGTCCACAGTCTAGTCATACTCGTCGATGAGCATCGGATGGAGAAATGAGGCGCATCTCTGCTAAGAGAGGTGAGTCTTTCTGACCCCATGTCGCCTGGCTGCACGTGCAGTACCCATGCCAACTCCAAACAAGTGGCCCTGTTCTTCCTCGCCCTTGTCCTCGCCTCGTGCACTCGCCCTTCTGTGCGTTTGGCTCTGCTACATCTGCTTGCCTGGCATCCGTCCATCCATCGCACGCGTTTTATTCCTTTACGCTGGCCCATGATTTCAATCTACCTCACAGCGTATTCTTGCTCTTCTCCTCTCCTCGCAGGTTGCACGGGCGTGCCTTTGACCCTGCAGCAGCGCCTGGACATGTTGATAGGAGTGGCGCGCGGGCTGGAGTATCTGCACAGCTTTGGCATCGTGCATCGCTGCCTTTGCCTTCGAAGCATTTTTCTGGATGGCAGCATGCAGGTGAGTGAGTGTGCTTGCTGTGCGGGCACCATCCCCCACACGACACGACACGACTCGCAAACACGCAGCAGAGCAGACTCGTTTCCCTGCCATATAGTGTGGAGTGGAGCAACATCCATATAGGATTGGGTTACCCTGCCCCGTTATATTGATGCTGTGAAAAGCGTTCCCTCCTCCCCCGCCACCCTCCTCCTGTCTGGCCACACGACGTGTGGGCACCCCTCGCCGCACGTCGCTGCACCACACTTCCAAACACAGCGCCACGCCAGGCAAAGATCGCAGGGTTTGACTCTGTGACGCGCAGGGCAGCAGCAGCGGGTGGCGAGTTCTCGGTGGTGGGCGTGCCTGGGTACGTGGACCCGCACCTGCTGCTCTCCGAAGAACACACTCCCACTAATGACCTCTACAGGTGCCCGTCTCTTCTCCCTAATCCTCCAACTCCCCTAATTTCGCCCATTCCCCTCAATCCGCCTGAATAAGGAACGGTAGATAGAAGTACGCCCAGGCGGGCAGGTGAAGAATATTTTCGGGGCAGGGAGAATAGAATCAGGATGTAGCCGACACAGCAGAGCCATGCTGTCGTTGTCTGGGGTTGCATTGCACTAGGCGTTGACCAAGAAAATTCAGGCATAATAGCCAGTGCCACTAACATCAACTACCTAGCCTGGAGGAGTTTGGGGGGGGGGGAGTAAGATGAGCATGCGGATTAGGTCTGGTGTGGTTGTGGCTAGGTAGATGTGAGATGTGAGAGCGAGTTGGTGCTGTAATTTTGTGTTTGGGGCCTGGTAGGGTTTGAGAGGTGCCGTTGTTATGGCCCGTTTTGTGTGGGTTGATTGGTTGGGGGAAATGACCAAATTCAATGTCGCCAAAAACCTTCCCCCGGCATTTCGCGTTGATAAGGAGTTGAATGAAGGGCCGCACTTTTCTGTTTCTGAAATCTTCCGGTCAGCGTATTACGCATTACGCTTCGTTGTTAGAGCGTATTTTGCAACCAAGCCACCCATCCCCCTCAATCCGTCCATTCCACTCCTACTGCCTCTCCTGCACAATGTTACGGTCCCAGGCCACTGCAGCACTGCCTCCCACAGCATCATGCCTCCCACAGCATCATGCCTCCCACAGCATCATGCATCCCACAGCATCATGCATCCCACAGCATCATGCCTCCCACAGCATCATGCCTCCCACAGCATCATGCCTCCCACAGCACCATCTGATTATCAGCTCGCCATCTGGTCACCATCTTCTTTTAATAAAAAAAATGACTGCACGCACGTGGAGGCTCGTTCGTTGCTCCAGTGCCATGCTCCGCTCTCAACTCTCTGTACTACTCTACACTCGTTCCTTCTCCTTTCCCCCCATTGCCCTTGCGTGGCGCTCCCCTCCCCCCCTTCTTCCCGCGCATCCCTCCCTTGGCCCGCCGCCACCAGTCTGGGAGTGGTGCTGCTGCAGCTGTTGGCAGGCCGCATTTCCCTCGCGTTAGAAAAGACCATGCCACAGTTCTTCCGAGACACTGTGAGTGCAAGTGGGGCGTTAAGGGAAGGGCGAGTGTTGATTGCGAGTGCCGAATTGGGGGGAGGGCGAGTGTTACTGCCTGCCTTTTACTCCTCCCATCCCTCGTGCTCCTCCCCTCACCCCCCTTGATCTACCCTCCATGCTCCGCCCTCCATGCTCCGCCCTCCATGCTCCGCCCTCCATGCTCCGCCCTCCATGCTCCGCCCCCCAATACGTCACCCCTCTATGTCCCTCCCCCATTGCTCCGCCCGCCATGCTCCTCCGCCCATACTCCTCTCTCCATGCTTCTCCTTCAACACTCTGGGTCATACTTCGTCTGGTTTGGGGTTCATGGGTCTGAATGAATTCAGCGTCTGACTTCCCCCCCTTGCCCTTCACCCCGCACCATGTTGAAACGCAGTTACAAGCCAACAACTTGGCTGCTCTATTTGATCCTGCCCTCGCCTCCTCCTTCCTCCCACCCACCACCAATACCAGCACAGTCATCCCTAGCAGCGGCGCCACCAGCAGCTCCAGCACGTGTTCTAGCGCCGCCAGCACCACCATGGCAGGCACAGCAGCTGCCAGCGCTGCTGATACCACTGTGGGTGTTGTTCCCATACCGAATGTTCTTATTCCCACTTTGTTGCAGCTGGCTCGTGTCGGGCTCGCATGCACAGCCATGCCTGCTTCCACTCGGCCGTCCTTGGGAAGAGTTATTGCTGAGCTGGAGATTGTGCGGGATGACGTGGCAACAGCATTGAGGCAGATGGAGGAAGGGGTGGAGAGGCAGAGAGGGGAATTGCAGGGAGGGAGGGGTGCCATGGCAGGCAATAGGGGAAATGAGCGTTCGGGCTCGTGGGGCAATCCTTCCCACGCCGAACCTTCCTCCACACTTCCTAATCCTTCCACTCCTCCTTCGCAGCTTCCTCCTCCTCCTCCTCCTGCTGTGGTCGCCCCCTCCCCCTCCGCCCTCTCCCCGGCGCCGCTGCTGTGCCAGCAGGTGGCCATGGCGGACGTGGTGCGTGCGACAGCCGGATGGGCGAGAGAGAGGAGCATTGGCAGCGGGCGGTACGGCGACGTGTATCGCGGCGTGAGCCCCCTCGATGCCTGCACGCTCTGGGCCGTCAAGCGCGCCAAAATTCTCACCAACAATTTCCGACGCGAGGTGTGGTTGATGGGATGGTGGGGGTTGTTGTTAATGGGATGGGGATGAGAGTAGGGGCGGAATGATGAGAGACCAACAATGGCGTGAGAGGGCAACGGCTCAAGATGCACTCAAGTGGGAGCCAAGTTGACGAATGAGTGAACAAAATTGCGAGAGGCATGAGCTATTAACTTAATTCTGTGTTTTTCCCCTGCGGTTCCCTCACCTCCATGCAACCCTCCCCCCCACACCCTCCTCCACCTCTCCCCCCATCGTACCCTGTGACTCCCTCCCTTCCTCACTCCGTTGGGAGATGGCATCAGATCAACGAGATGGCATCGAAGCACCACCCGCACCTGGTGCGGCTGCTGGGGTTCTGTGTGGACTATGATGCGGCGGCGGAGCGCATGGAGCAGATCGCCATCTACGAGCTCATGCCGCACGGGGACCTGCACCACCGCTTGCATGGCCGTCACACAGGTGGGCACACACAGACTCTTAGGCGTCTCACAGATGGGCACACTCGGACCCTTACGCGTCTCATCTCACAAGGGGGCGCACACAGACAGACAACGAGGATAGAGCTGAGTTGCAGTGTGGGGTGTGGGACCCACAACGAGGGGGGGAGTGGGAGTGAGAAGAAATGAAAGGAGGAGAAGAGAGGGATGTGGGAGGGAAGGGAATGCAAGCTTTTAGGAGGAGAAAAGTCAAGGCTGGTGGTGGCCGTGCCCATTATGTGAAGTTATTTACGTGAAGGGTGGGCAAGTTTGCCTGCTTCCCCTCCTCTTGCTTCCTCTGCCCCTCTCAATAAAGGCCCGGCCTGACCCCATTCGCTTTCTTCCCTTCTGTTTTGCTCATCAGGTAATATCACCCCCCTGACCCTGCTCCAGCGGCTGGACATTCTGATAGGAGTGGCGCGTGCGTTGGAGTATCTGCACAGCTTTGGCATCGTGCATCGCGACGTCAAGCCTGCCAACATCCTGCTGGACGCCCACATGCAGGCGAGTGCAGGCGAGTGCAGGCGAGTGCAGGCGAGTGCAGGCGAGTGCATGCGAGTGCATGCGCTGATGGGAACCTCACGAGGAGCCAACATGCAGGCGGGTGCAGGCGAGTGCATGAGAGTGCATGAGAGAGCATGTGCTGATGGGTATCTCCTATGTTGCGGAAGACGCGTCTTGCGTCTTAGACGGATGCGTCTAGACGCAGCGTCTTAGACGCAAGACGCATTTCAGTGCCGAAAAGACGCATATTAGACGGAAACCCGGGCAGGCCTAAAAAAAAGGTTCGGGCAGCCTAAAAAACCTCTGTGGGCAGTGGGGAGGGTGATGGACATGCACATATGTCACATTAGGGGCAAATTTTCCCCGTACCATAGAATTTTCCCTATACTTAGAGTGAACTTGCAAAACCCTAAAGGGTTTTTGAAAGAGAATTGGTAGAAATGAGAGATGGGGTGCACAAATGGGGGCTTTGTGCTCCCCAACCTCTTGGTGGTTTGCCTCAATAGGTTCGGTTTTCTAGATGTTGTGCGGTGCAGTGCGGTGTTTGTTCAAATTTGGTAGGGGGGGGTATCAATTTTGCAAGGGGGGCTGGTTTGTATGGTCGAAATGGGTGGGATGGGGTTCATATGGCGCGAAATTGAATTTCGCCTCGAAGTCGCGAAATTCGATTTCGGCCGCGGATTTTTGTTTTTTTCCGGGCTGACCGAATTTTTTTTTGCCAAGCGTCTTGCGTCTAAACACGCGTCTTGCGTCTTGCGTCTAGACGCTGCGTCTAGACGCAAGACGCAAGACGCATCGTGCGTCTTCCGCAACACAGGGTATCTCTTGAGAAGCCAATATCTCACGCAGGTGCCTCTTCTCCACGAAACGCCAACGCTCTTTGGATTTGGATGAGCAATGACTCTGTAACAGTGCGGATCACTCTGTGTCTGTTTCGTCCTTCTTCATCCTGCAGGCGAAACTGGCAGACTTTGGTTTGTTGAGGTGCACAGTTGTGGTGGGCGATGGCAGCTGCTCACTGCAGTCCACAGAAGTGATGGGCACACCGGGCTATGTTGACCCTGTATATAGAACGACTCACATGGCCACTATAAGTGCTGATGTGTACAGGTGCGAAGGCGTGTTCACGTTTTTTGTTATTTGCCCAAGTATGCATGTCCTCGTCTCTCGTCTCACTCAGGTGCTCTCTTTTCACTATATTGCCTTCGTTGCACGTGGTTGCACACCTCTTCCTTATCCTGTTTAAATTTTCTTTCTGCTTTCTACTCTCTCTCTCTCTCTCTCTCTCTCTCTCTCTCTCTCTCTCTCTCTCTCTCTCCCTCTCTCTCACCCTCAATCTCACTCTCTCGCTCTCTCTCACTCTCTCTCTTACTCTCTCCCCTCCTCCCTTCGTCCCTCTTGCCCGCACTGTTCCCCCCAGCTTTGGAGTGGTCATGATGCAGCTGCTGACTTACAAACATGTTGTGTTCCTATGTGAAGATGGAAAAGAAATCAACATCAAGGACTGGGTAAGCTGCGGCTTCTTCTTCTTCCAACCAACAATCCCTCTTCCCTGATTTTCCTTATGTTGGAATCCCTTCCTCACTCTCTCCATCTCTTTTCCTCCTCACTTCCCTCGTCCTGCTCCTCCTGCCTCTTCCCTGTCCTCTCACCCCCTCCTTGCCACACCTTCTCTCACCCTCCCCGCTTCTCTTCCTCCCAATCCTGACAGGTTGAGCTGCAGGTGGGGAGGGGGAACAGAGCAACTGTTGTCAACGGGGATCTCAATGCACCGCATGCCGTGGCCTCCACGCTAGTTGACATTTCTCTCTCGTGTGTTGCGAAGCTCGTATCAAATCGACCCAGTATGAGCCATGTGCTAGTTGAGCTTGAAACTCTGCGCAGGGAGCTGATGGGTGGAAGACAGGAGAGAGTAGCGAGGCAGTTAGATGCAAAAGTTCAACAAGCTTCACTAGATTGTAGTAGGCCACTGGAGGAGGAGCTCGAAATTATCAATAGGATTGTTCATGATGATGACTAGATGAAAATGAATCGAGGAGTGTACTCAAGGAGCTGTTTTTCCTCTTTTCATATATTTATATAGTTTGTGGTTTTGTAGTGGCTTTTTGGCTGAGTTTCAGCGTAAGTTTTCCTGCCAACTCTGTTTTTTCAGCCCAACCCAAACCCAATGTATGGGCTTATGACATTGTATCCAATACAAACAGTATGGTGACCAGCAGGGGGGCAACAAACTTATCTGCGATCAGGAAGGAGTTCGATATCGTGCTCAACATGATAGCGGCAGATGTGATAATGGTAGCATCAGGGTCCAAAATATCAAGGTAAAATACCCTTTTTGCCTGATGGGCGGCCGCTTTTTGGCATTTACCCTTGCGAAATCCGTGTAACCAGTTTTTTACCCTAGTGCAAAAAGGATAACTTTTGTTTTACCCTGAAACCGATTTTTGTTACCCTGCATGTACAGGGTTCGCTGAGCATTACACTGTTACTGGATCTTCCTTACCGAGGATCCGGCCACACTTAAAGCTCGAGTATACATTTGTCATTGGGGTTTCAGGTTTATGGAGGGTGCCTCACGGTTTCCCTACAATGTTTCAAGTTCCTAAGGATTTTGAACCCCACCTTTCAAATGTATACTGAAGCTCCTCACAAATTGTGACATGGTCCCACCGCTTCCCTTGTCGCTTTCGACCACAGTTGCAAAACCGAAAAATCCTATCGGCGGACCGCCACTTCTTCCTATTGGTTGTTTGACCCACACTTCAGCCAACGCTCCCCGGAATCCTGCCACAACTCATTATTCCCACTACCAACTGTGCCAAGTAGCGCGCCAACATAGCTTCGTACTGTCCCACGCATCACATGACAGTCGTTGTTGTGCTTCACTCACAGCCATGCATTGCCCGCGCTGCGCGGGCATCACTACGTAGGGGGCTGGGTGGGGTTCGTGCTTTCCCAAGGGGACCATTTTTGTTCAGCGTCCTCTTCCTTCTCGCAAGGGTCTCTCAATCATGCCTGCTGCAGAGCCATATCCGCCTGGTAGCACCAGGAACGGCCTCTCCGTTCTGGGAGTTTTACCCCGCCTTCGAGACTATAGCGTTCCCATCTCACAGAAACCGCGTGAAGCCTCGCCGGAGTGTCACGTAGGAACGTTTTATCCGTTCGAGCCGCCGAACTCACCGTCGGCGTTCGAGCCACACCCATCTCTGTTGCTAGTTCCTGGCGGTGGCGAAGGCTCTTCGAAGCCATGCACGGCGTCACCGTCAACGGTTAGCAGCACTCTAGTGAAGCGACAGCGTGTTGGTGCAACCTACACACTGCAGAGGCTCTGGGGCGCCCCTCCTCCCCAAAAGGCGGCATCAACGACACAGCCTGCTGCTCCTGCCGAGCCGAAGCCTCCCACCATGACTACTGAAGCTGAGTACGAAGTGATTAAGAATACATTCGACACGCAGTGGGCAGGTAAATTCAAATGGCTGCGACTAAATTGCATTGAAATGTGCCATTTGCATGAAGCATGGAGATCCAACCGCTCACACTGCCTACGGGGTGAGGGGTGAGGGTAATCAAGACTTGCAGATAGGGAGCATCCGCCCTCACTCCTCTACCCGAGCACATAATCAGGCACTAACGAACGAGGCGACAGTAGAGGCGGCCAAAGCGAAGCAAGCAACGCTCACTCGGCAGACGACGGATGCTTCTACCCGGCACATAATTTAATGCCTCCAAATCGCCCTGTATGTATGCAAGGCAGACGCGCTCATCGCGATGTTCATCCCTCTTTGCTGGTTCTTGGCTAAGGAGGGGTTAGCAGACCTTCCTCCTTCTGGAGGATATGGCGCTTATTACACCGAATAAGTGTGGTGGTTTTTTGTTACGGTAGTTGTGCTTCCCGCAAGTTTCGGTACTGGATTTGTTTCATCTGTCTGTGGCAGTTACGGCTTCAAGGATAACCTGCACGCCATTTCAACGTACCTCCAGGAGACCCAACGGCTGCACCTGCTAGAATCCCCTTGGATTGGGATTTCCCTGGACGAAAGCACCTATTGCATTCATGGGAAACACCTTATCATATACGTTACTTTTTGGGAAAAAAAACAACACGGTGGTAACCGAGTTTCTAACGTTAATCACTGTCGACCGCGCTGACACTGCGTCTCTCACCTCTGTCGTCGTGCAGTACCTAACAGGGATTGGCGTCGACCTGCAGAAGATCTCAAGCATTTCAATTGGCGGAGCAAACGTAAGGGTCGGGAAGAACAATGGGGTCGTGGCGACTGAGGATTCATCACCTCGCCTCAACCCACTGTAACGCACATCGGTGAGCGGTTGACCCGCATCTTCCTTGTTTTGGCTAACTCTGTTAGTGTTTACTAACCCATCCTGTAATCTGTGTTTGTTCGTCCAGGGAGGCGCTCGCTGCCCGTGATGCCGCAGATGGAGTTAGGCATGGTCGACGATGTCGTGCGCTCCTTTGCAGAGCAGATAGGCCGCAGCAGCGTGCAGTACCATAAGTTTCAAAACCTGCAACAAAACTTCTCCCAGGCGAACTTGGAGGCGCAGGGGATACACGCTGTGTGCTGGCTCTCGTGAGGTAAGACTGTGCAACGTCTGCTTGAGATACTCCCAGCAGCAATCATGGTGATGAAGGAGAAAACAAATGACTTGTACGAGGTGGTTACCTTGTTCAAGTTCCGCTTCCCCCTTCGGTTCCTTGCGGATGTGTTGTGGGAACTCAACCACCTCAACCAGCGCTTCCAGCAACGCCGCTAAGGGTGTTGGTTGCCATGCGTCTCGTCTTCTGTACATTGGTGTAGTATGACGAGGTTACCCTGACTTCATCTCTTGCCGATGTGCAGATTGACGTCACCCTAGTGGCTGGGCCAACTGCACAAGCTGTACAACCCCAAACTGCCTGGTGAGATTGTGTGTTGACCGCGCAGCATCAGTCCGTGCTTATTGTTTCTGATTATCTATCTGTGCCCCATTGTTTTCCGTGCACGTGCACCAGATCTATTATTGTTGGAATAATGCCCCCCATTCCTACCCGTGTCTGCGGGTATAGCCCAATTTTACACCCCCCCCCCCTCCCCCCCCCCCCCCCTCCACCACAACAGGGTTCAACTATCACAGGGCCGGTCAGGAACTGTGGATGTTCACATCCACAATGTTGTCCTAGCACAACAATGAAGAATTCTACCACGCGCTGCGAACATGTTGAGCGATGATGCCTGGCAGCAGTCGTTCCCAAACGTCATGCGCATTTGGCAGTCTGTCGCTGTGCTGTCTTTGAGCACGGTTGAGTGTGAGCGTGGTTTCAGCAAGAAAAATCTGATTAAGACCTGGGGACGCGGCATCATCGCCGACTGCAGCCTGGAGTACCTTATGCGCTGTTCCCTGCTCCAATATGAGGTCGACTGGTACGAGGTGGTCGCCATTTTCCGTGGAGAGAAGCTGCGACACTCCACCAAGGATTTTGACGGGAGCAAGGCTAGCAAGGCCCAGTTTGTAGATGATGAAGTAGTTAAAAGTGCCAAGCAGTGATTAGATGGTGTTTCTGTGCAAGTGTTTGAATAATATCAACTGTTACATGCGGATTTGAAGCCTTGTCAAAATACATAGTAAACGGCCTAACTGCAAAGTTACACTGACAAAATCAGTGTACGGAAGTTTTAAAGCTGTTTTCAGTAGGGTATGGAAATTTTTACTCCAAGGGTCAGGGTACAGCAGGCCTGAAACCCTCTACCGTAGTATTATGGTGGGGTGCGGTGTGGCTGATCTCAACGGCTCACCTGCGTCGGTAGTTGCATGTGTCATCTCAGCCCGTGGATGCAAAGGGGCTCCTCATCTGTTGATCAATTAATCAGGCACACACAATTACTTTATGCGAGTTCAACATCAACGAACTCGGCAGTTTGGGGAAGAAGTGCAAAGACTGGATGAAAAAGGAAACAGATGTGGCCGTAATAACAGACACTAGGATTGACGCGGATCACAACTTCTAGACTCAATTAAAACCGAGGGCGGCAATAGGACCGGGACCCAATCAATCAGGAGGAGGTGTTGCAATAGTAAGCTTCGTACCTGACTTGGTGATTTCGGACAGCTTCACGCACGACTCAGGGAGGCTCCTAGCGGTAGTGGTCCGTTGGGGTGACCTGGAGCTACTGTTGGTGGCTGCGTACCTCCCGGCGCAGGCGGTCAACATAAGCAACTTTTACAGGGACTGCCTGCAGCCCTTCTTGCTGACCCTGTCGGCGCTCCCGAACGTCATGGTGCTGGGGGACTTGAACGTGGTAGAAGACCCGGATCTAGATCGTACCTCACATATTGCTGGGCGAATACAGACCTGAAGGATGACTTCCGTTATATGCACCCGGACAAGCGCGAGTACACCTTCTTTGCGAGGGCGACAAAGACCAGCTCCAGGATCGACAGAGCGCTGATGTTGCTGCCCTTGCTGAGCAGGCTGGGGGAGGTAAAGGACGTGGTGATTACGAATACGATG